CACACCCATATAAGAGCGTTGGTAAAACTATACTCTCATACATTCCCCTCTTTGCCCCCAAGGACAAAGTTCTTTTCTCCACAGACTCCTAAGTGCACCACTCACTCTTTTTCCCTCATCAATTCTATGATTCACCTCATCTTTCATAGACCCATCCGCTGACACGTCCACTCCCAAATATCTGATACGTTCACCTCCTCCATACTCTCTCCCTCCAATCTGATATTCAATCTTTCATCACCTAATCTTTTTGTTATCCTCATAACCTTACTCTTTCCTGTATTCACCTTTAATTTTCTTCTTTGCACACCCTACCAAATTCATCCACCAATCTCTGCAACTTCTCTTCAGAATCTCCCAAGAGCACAGTGTCATCAGCAAAGAGCAGCTGTGACAACTCCCACTTTGTGTGTGATTCTTTATCTTTTAACTCCACGCCTCTTGCCAAGACCCTCGCATTTACTTCTCTTACAACCCCATCTATAAATATATTAAACAACCACGGTGACATCACACATCCTTGTCTAAGCCTACTTTTACTGGGAAATAAATTTCCCTCTTTTCCTACATACTCTAACTTGAGCCTCACTATCCTCGTAAAAACTCTTCACTGCTTTCAGTAACCTACCTCCTACACCATACACTTGCAACATCTCCACATTGCCCCCTATCCACCCTGTCATACGCCTTTTCCCAAATCCATAAATGCCACAAAGACCTCTTTAGCCTTATCTAAATACTGTTCACTTATATGTTTCACTGTAAACACCTGGTCCACACACCCCCTACCTTTCCTAAAGCCTCCTTGTTCATCTGCTATCCTATTCTCCGTCTTACTCTTAATTCTTTCAATTTATAACTCTACCATACACTTTACCAGGTACACTCAACAGACTTATCCCCCCATAATTTTTGCACTCTCTTTTATCCCCTTTGCCTTTATACAAAGGAACTATGCATGCTCTCTGCCAATCCCTAGGTACCTTACCCTCTTCCATACATTTATTAAATAATTGCACCAACCACTCCAAAACTATATCCCCACCTGCTTTTAACATTTCTATCTTTATCCCATCAATCCGGCTGCCTTACCCCCTTTCATTTTACCTACTGCCTCACGAACTTCCCCCCCACTACAAACTGGCTCTTCCTCACTCCTACAAGATGTTATTCCTCCTTGCCCTATACACGAAATCACAGCTTCCCTATCTTCTTCAACATTTAACAATTCCTCAAAATATTCCTTCCATCTTCCCAATACCTCTAGCTCCATTTAATAAAATCTCCTCTCCTATTTTTAACTGACAAATCCATTTGTTCTCTAGGCTTTCTTAACTTGTTAATCTCACTCCAAAACTTTTCTTATTTTCAACAAAATTTGTTGATAACATCTCACCCCTCTCTCATTTGCTCTCTTTTTTACATTGCTTCACCACTCTCTTAACTTTCTCTTTTTCTCCATATACTCTTCCCTCCTTGCATCACTTCTACTTTGTAAAAACTTCTCATATGCTAACTTTTTCTCCCTTACTAATCTTTTTGTTATCCCCATAACCTTACTCTTTCCTGTATTCACTTTTAATTTTCTTCTTTTGCACACCCTACCAAATTCATCCACCAATCTCTGCAACTTCTCTTCAGAATCTCCCAAGGGTACAGCATCATCAGCAAAGAGCAACTGTGACAACTCCCACTTTATGTGTGATTCTTTATCTTTTAACTCCACGCCTCTTGCCAAGACCCTTGCATTTACTTCTCTTACAACCCCATCTATAAATATATTAAACAACCACGGTGACATCACACATCCTTGTCTAAGGCCTACTTTTACTGGGAAATAATTTCCCTCTTTCCTACATACTCTAACTTGAGCCTCACTATCCTCGTAAAAAACTCTTCATGCTTTCAGTAACCTACCTCCTACACCATACACTGCAACATCTGCCACATTGCCCCCTATCCACCCTGTCATACGCCTTTTCCAAATCCATAAATGCCACAAAGACCTCTTTAGCCTTATCTAAAATACTGTTCACTTATATGTTTCACTGTAAACACCTGGTCCACACACCCTCTACCTTTCCTAAAGCCTCCCTTGTTCATCTACTATCCTATTCTCCGTCTTACTCTTAATTCTTTCAATAATAACTCTACCATACACTTTACCAGGTATACTCAACAGACTTATCCCCCTATAATTTTTGCACTCTCTTTTGTCCCCTTTGCCTTTATACAAAGGAACTATGCATGCTCTCTGCCAATCCCTAGGTACCTTACCCTCTTCCATACATTTATTAAATAATTGCACCAACCACTCCAAAACTATATCCCCACCTGCTTTTAACATTTCTATCTTTATCCCATCAATCCCGGCTGCCTTACCCCCATCATGTTCTATTATATATTTACAAATGTAAAGGAACTCGACATGTTCTTTGAGGTGGATGACAATGGTCTTTGTCTTGGAAACTGCTGAGTCAGTAGCTAACTTGCGTCGCCACTCACTCAGTCTTGGCTGGTGTCTTGTGCCACCAACACCTATTGACCATATGGTACACGGTATCATATGTTACAGGGTACCATATGGTACATTGCACTATATGGTATAGAGTACCTTGCAGTACAGGATAACATATAGTGCAGGGTACCATATTGTGCAGGGTACCATATGGTACAGGATACCATATGGCACAGGGCACCATATGGCACAGGATACCATATGGCACAGGATACCATATGGCACAGGGTACCATATGGTACAGGGTACCATACAGTACAGGACACCATATTGTACAGATACAAGGATCCCTATGGAAATAAGTCACCCTGACTTTTTTGGGTTATCCTAGGATTTTATACATATGCTGCTATGTATAATAATCCATGTACGTAATTGTATTTCTGTACACCTGTATAAACTCACTCAAGCGCATGTGGCATAATAAGTGGCCCTGTGGTCTGGTGGTTAAAGCTCCCGCTTCACACACGGAGGGCCCGGGTTCGATTCCCGGCGGGTGGAAATTCCGACACGTTTCCTTACACCTATTGTCCTGTTCACCTAGCAGCAAATAGGTACCTGGGTGTTAGTCGACTGGTGTGGGTCGCATCCTGGGGGACAAGATTAAGGACCCCAATGGAAATAAGTTAGACAGTCCTCGATGACGCACTGACTTTCTTGGGTTATCCTGGGTGGCTAACCCTCCGGGGTTAAAAATCCGAACGAAATCTTATCTCTTATCTTATCTTATTTAGGTATACACAAATAAAGTTACATAGAATATCATACTTAGCAGCATATGTTTGGAGAACCTAGGATAACCCAAAAAAGTCAGACTTATTTCCATTAGGTTCCCTGTACCCTGTACTATATGGTATGATATACCATATGGCACAATGGTACCATATGGTTTAAAACCATAGAATTCCTCTTCAGCTTCACTTCCATCAGTCTTAGAACTGTAAGTTGTGAGAGGAGAGTCAGAATTCGCCAGGAGAGTGAGTGGGGAGTGAGAGCTTTCTTGCCGCCAGGCACGATGAACAAAGCTACTTTGGCGGCGTTCCCACAATACCATGCGGGCGTCCAGATTTTTTCTATAGTGTGCACACTGACCACCCAGACCCATTCTCTCAGATGTAGGCCTACCAGCCTTCTCGCGCTAAATTTGATGCCCCTAGAATTTTGGCGTAGATCTACGGTTTGGACCCTGAACGTAAAGCCATAGATCTACGGGACGGACCCTGAAAGGGTTAAATGATGGGTGAGACTTCAGTAGAATTAGTTGTAGCTAGATATAGAGTATTTGGGTAGTTGTCAGTGAGGTAATCTTTCGGCTGGGTATTTCAGCTAGGAATTTTACTTGCTAACTTTGATCCTGCAGTAGAGGAGACGACATTAAATTTGTTGGCCTCGTCTGTAGGCTGTATGCGAAATTCATCTGGTTTAGTTAAGTTTATCTCAATGTTTCCAGATGGTTTTCTAGAGCCCAAAATATTGAAGAGAGTTTGCCAGGTACATTTCATTTTGCCTTTTATTTCAATGAATCTATTTATGTAATACATTTTCTTTGATTTTTGTATTAGTTTTGTGAGTTTTGATGTGTATCGTTTAGCCAGTTTTTTAGTAATCAGGCCTAATCTGAAGAATTTTTCAAGTTAGTGCTTTTTATCAATAGATTTAAGGATGCTATTTGTTAGCCATGGGCTATTTATTCTCTTTTCTCTGATGCTTCATTTGGATTTGGACAATGCATGTTATAGAGGTTTAGGGTTTTATGTAAAACAGTTTTGACATCTTTGTCAGTATTATTGCTGTCGGCTAGCTCTCTCTGCCATTCAATGTCACCTAGTAGTAATATTAAATTATTTACCAATGTCTCATCATGCAGGCGAAATGAGATCTTTCTCAAGTCTCGAGGCAATTTACATAAGTTGGTTATGAGAAAGGTGGGATAGTGGTCTGTAGTGTTGTCTGTGATTATACCTGCTTGTAGTGGAGATATCGTGTTGGTCCAGATATGGTCAAATAATGAGGCACTTGTCTCAGATTCTTGTTGGCTTAGTTACAGAAGGTAGCAGCAAGCAGTTGTTCACAGTGTTTGTGAAATCAGCTACTGGGGGGTCAGTTACTTGGATGAGGTTTATGTTGAAGTCTCCTGTGAGCATCAGGTGGTGTTTATTCAACTCTGACTCAGTTACCGTGTTTCTAATGTTACCACTAAAAGCGTAAGTACTTGTGTGCAGTAGTCTGTAGACTTCTCCAACTGCTATAGGTTTTTCAAGGTGTTTTGATGTGAATTTGGCCATTATATATTCACCATTGTTGTCCCTTGTGTGCAAGTAAATTTCATACATTTCAGTTTATCAGAGTAGTAGATGGCAGTGCCTCCTGTTTGAGCCAGGTTTCTGTAAGAATAATAAAAGTTATAGTAGCATTTAGAAGTAGCATGTTGCACATCAAATAAATTTATTCTTTGATAATTACTTATTCTTTTTGTTTGCAGTTCATCTCTTCAAAAGAAAAGATTAACTTGCTGTGCCAGCATCAAGTGGAGTAAAACTAATGCAGGAGGGAGGAGTATGGCAATTATATAATTTCAGCAATCAACATAATAACACCACATGTTGAGAAACACTTAAGTGTCAGGTGTTAGCATCTTAATGCTAACAACAACTTCCTGCTGTACACACATCATTAAATTTTGTGAATATAACTACTCAGTGAAATATTGTGTAACATTACCAGATACTGCAGAATTAACTTGATGTTTAAAAATTCATGTGTATTAGCAATATATAAATAGCATAAATATAATAAGATAAGAATTTTAATTAAATTTTTAATGAATCCAATGAGAAAAATGCGAGTTTATTCAGAAGAGAAACTCTTTCATTGTTCAGAGTGTTTAAAAGACTTCAAAAGGAAATCAAATCTAACAGATCATATGAGAATTCATACTGGAGAAAAACCCCACCAGTGTTCTGAATGTGTTAAAAACTTTTCACAGAAGTCAGATCTAATAAAACACATGAGAGTTCATACAGGAGAAAAACCATATCAGTGTTCAGAGTGTCTAAAAGATTTTTCACAAAAATCAAGCCTGGTAAAACACATTAGAAGTCATAGAGGGGAGAAACCATATCAGTGTTCAGAGTGTCTAAATTTCTTTTCTAGGAAATCTAATTTATTAAATCATATGAGAGTACATACTGGAGAAAAACAATACCAGTGTTCAGAGTGTCTAAAAGACTTCACAACAAAATCAAATTTAATAAATCACATGAGAATTCACAGAGGAGAAAAACCATATCAGTGTCCAGAGTGTTTAAAAGACTTTAGAAACAAGTCAGATCTAATAAAACACATGAAAGTTCATACAGGGCAGAAACCATATCAGTGTTCAGAGTGCTTAAAAGATTTTGCAAGAAAATCCCATCTCATTAATCATATGAGAGTTCATACTGGGGAGAAGCCATATCAGTGCTCAGAGTGTCTGAAAGACTTTAAAAGAAAATCTTATCTAATAAGTCATATGAGAATACATACCGGAGAGAAACCATACAAGTGTTCAGAGTGTTTAAAACTTTCTAGAAACAAGTCAGATCTAGTAAAACACATGAGAGTTCATAGAAGAATGAAACCATATCAGTGTTCAGTGTGTCTTAAAGGCTTCTCAAGAGAATCAAATTTAAGTAATCACATGAGGTTTCACACAGAAGATAAACCATATAAAAGTTCAGAGTGTCTAAGAGACTTTAAAAAAATAAATATGATCTAATGAAATTAATTATACTGATTAATGATAAAAATTTATTATTCGTTCAGTGTCTGAAAGGCTTTTTACATAATTCAAGTTCATAACACACATCAACTATTTAGAAAATATTTTTAAAATGAAACTTAATAATATATTTAAGTATATGCAGTACTGGGATCTAGTCAGTATTGAAATTTCAAAATTTTCAGTTTTAGGTCACTTTCACAGATCTGCTGAAAAAAAAGTGTGTCCTTCATGACCTCTTTAAGGGTAAGGGGTCCTTGAAATGGTGAAGAAGTTCTTGACCTAAGAAATTTGGCCTTTTTCAGACCATGCCTAACTGCCCCCATTCTTCTCTTACCCCCCCCCCCCCCCCCCCGCTGTTTTCTGTAACCTACTGATCATCGCTCCTCCCTTCTGCCATCCAATACCCTCGCTTCCTTCCCTACCCTGCAGCGCTGTATAGCCCTTGTGGCTTAGCGCTTCTTTTTGATTATAATAATAATAATCTTCTCTTCCCCACCCCATTTTTCCCATCCCACCTTTCCTAATACCTCCCCTTTCCTTCCTTTCCTGTGTTTGGCCTTTGGGGGTTTCTCTTCAGTAATTGTAGCTCCTGGGTTGAGAAAAGAGAATCATTGTTCCATTCTGTTGAGGCCCTTGGGGTGGTGGTGTTTGCCATGGACTCTAGGTCTGCCCTCCGGAATTTCAGAAGGTGGCTTTAAATGTCCTCAAGGTGACAGGCATATCTCTGGAGGCTGTCTGTTGGTTCTGGGAGGTGGTGGCCGAAAGGGGTATGCCTTGTGGTAAGTTTACAACTTCCCTTTCATTTGTCTTCTGAAGTGTCTCAGTGGATGTGATATTGCTACCCTGGCTTGCCAGTTTACTGGTATGATATGAAGGGTAGAGTAGGGTTCCATACAGCATCTGCACTACCAGCTCTGCTGATGGATATATGATCTCTGTTTCTCCTTGGAGCTATCTCCCATATTTTCCCCCTCACTCATTTTTTTTTTAAAGAGAAAAACAAAAGAAGAACCTTATTGTGAAGAGATACATACATGAACTCCCTTTGACTCAAGAAATCGTAATGACACGATTGCAAACAAACCATACCCCCGGCCGGGATTGAACCCGCGGTCATAGAGTCTCAAAACTCCAGCCCGTCGCGTTAGCCACTAGACCAGCTAGCCACAATAAGATTTATCCAACTAGGTATATTTCTACACCATAGGAAGGTTAGCACAGGCACCACTGTGACCACAAATGCAAGTTTTTGTAGACGAATCTCCAGCTAGCGTGGCCGTGACGAACTCTAGCTCAAGTCCCTTCACTGCCGTCAACATGACTTAAGAAATCGTAATGACACGATTGCAAACAAACCATACCCCCGGCCGGGATTGAACCCGCGGTCATAGAGTCTCAAAACTCCAGCCCGTCGCGTTAGCCACTAGACGGCAGTGAAGGGACTTGAGCTAGAGTTCGTCACAGCCACACTAGCTGGAGATTCGTCTGTAAAAACTTGCATTTGTGGTCACAGTGGTGCCTGTGCTAACCTTCCTATGGTGTAGAAATATACCTAGTTGGATGAATCTTATTGTGGCTAGCTGGTCTAGTGGCTAACGCGACGGGCTGGAGTTTTGAGACTCTATGACCGCAGGTTCAATCCCGGCCGGGGGTATGGTTTGTTTGCAATCGTGTCATTACGATTTCTTGAGTCATGTTGACGGCAGTGAAGGGACTTGAGCTAGAGTTCATCACGGCCATGCTAGCTGGAGATTCGTCTGTAAAAACTTGCATTTGTGGTCACAGTGGTGCCTGTGCTAACCTTCCTATGGTGTAGAAATATACCTAGTTGGATGAATCTTATTGTGGCTAGCTGGTCTAGTGGCTAACGCGACGGGCTGGAGTTTTGAGACTCTATGACCGCGGGTTCAATCCCGGCCGGGGGTATGGTTTATGAACTCCCTTTCTCAGCGGCATTCTCGCACAACCCTAGTGCATGAACAGTCCTTTCTTTTGACCTTTCAAAGACCTGGTACTACCTTCGGGGTAACACCTCATTGCCTGACTCCCTCATTTTTTGATGCAAAACTGTTTTTCCACATACCATCGCTAAGAGAAACTTTGTAATTGTGATGCTGTCATTATGGGGCCACTTGAACTTTAGGACCTTCCAATTCTTAAGACAGACAAAATTTATTTCTTTGCAAAGGTTACAATATGTGTTTACATTTAATAAGTGTTGTTAGGTACAAAGAAAGCCAATAAAATGCTAGAACATTTTGGGTAGACACTTATGTCCTTCTTGCCCTCAGGCAGTGACATTATCCTTGTAATATAGCTAAATAAACTTTTGACTGCCATAAACTTCAACCCTCTGTATATATAGTGGGACAGTACTTACAAGTACAAAAACTAAACCCTTAACTACAACAATGTAGAAATTGCTGGCACTGTGGAAAATTAAATTTACCTGGATGTAACACATAAGATACATACCAGTAAATGATAACAAAGATAATTATTCTTTATCAAGGTTACAGAGACAAGTAGGAATTTTAGGACACCTAGGTCGCAAAAAATGTCCTCCTTCGATACCTACGATAATTTATCTATCCACAAGTCACTCTGGACCTATATTAATTTCAAATGAAATATACATCACCAGGAATTCTGGTAAAACATTAATATAAATATGTGGACTCTATATTAAATTTAAAATGTGAATACATATACATTGAAGGAGAATTTATAATAATAAGACTCGCCAATTAGTCTGGAGATTACGGTGTGTCATACAAACCCCCTTGCCTAAATTATGAAGAAAATACTGGCCAGAATTTCAACACAAAATAGTCATGACTTAACTGGGGTTCCGAAGCTATCCTGCCAATCTGCTTAATGCTCACGTTATGCAGGACTGCAAATCCAACAATTTCAGCTCCTATTTGAGAGGTTTTAAGCCCAATATAACCCCTAGAGCGACGAAAATTTACGCACATTTCAATAGCGTGCCTTTACCCCATTCAAAACAATGGTGTCTCTCCCCAGCGATGCTCACCTATCACTGGTTCTTTATTTATTTACAAATTAATTTTTATTACCTACAATATATTACACTAATTTACATACAAAATACACTGTATTTTTGGAGAATATACAGTATTTTCCACACTGCGGCCAGGCAGAGTTCGTTGCTAAACGACTCAAATTACTCCTTCCTTTAGGAGATGATTCCAGCCGGTTCTGGCTTGAGTGGCTGTTCTCATAGTAGGCCTTACTACAATTTTATCTTCCTGCATCACTTGGTCAGCGTTACCTTCAGTATCACTCGTGTCACTATCCCTTAGATTTTCATTTACATTTGATTGAATATCATTTAATTCCAAGGGAATCAATTTATTAATTGTGCGTAAACTTTCCTGGCCACGACACAACACTTTGACATTCCTGACAACACCTTGTGCATCTGGGTACAATGTCAATACTTTGCCCAGAGGCCACAATGTTCGATGTTGTTCAGTAACAATGAACACAATGTCACCTGGTTGAATGTTCTGTCGATTTACTGCCTCTGTTGCACCATAAAAGTGTTCACGTAGTGTAAGAAGATATTCCTTATGCCACACATTAGACCAATTTAACATTTTAAATTTATCACACAACACTGCCTCATCATTGTAATCCTCATCACTTTCTTCAGGATTATCTCTATACACAGGGGCAGCTTCCAATTTCCTTCCACATATTAGGTGAAAAGGTGTTGATACATCTGTATCAGGTGTATCATTCATGTACAAGAGAGGCCTATTATTTATCTGATTCTCCACCTCCACCAACACCGCACGAAATTCCTCCATTCCTCTTCCAGTGTAGTACATTACAGAGACACCTCTTCACTGTGCCTATCAGTCTTTCATACAGCCCCCCTGCCAAGGGGCTCTAGGAGTAATAAATTTCCAGGCACACCCTCATTGGGTTAACAGAGATTGAACATCGGTACTCTTATTTAATTCTATCAAGTGTTGAGCACCCGCTACAAAATTTGTGGCATTATCCGAAATCATCAATCTCGGACAGGATCTCCTAGCTGCAAATTTTCGAAACAGCTGTATAAACTATTCTGCAGACAAGTCCTGAGCCACTTCTAAATGAACTGCCCTAGTAGCAGTACAAGTGAACAAGCATACATACACTTCCAGTGGAACACCATCTGAGGTACCTGTTAAAATGATTGGACCACTATAGTCTACACTTGTTACATCAAATGATTTCACTAATTGTACACGCTCCTTTGGCAATGGTGGAGGACCTGGGTACATACAGGATCTGGCATCCACACAGCAACATATTACACAAGATTATATCACCCTTTTAACACTTTGCCATCCTTGTGGAATCTAGAAAGTTTCCCTAATACAATTTAAGGTATCTTGTACCCCACCATGCATTACATTTTTATGGGCATTTAAAACAATTAGATTTGTTAGATGATGAGTTTTGGGCAGTAAGATAGTGTTTAGCATAATCACTCAATTCATTATTTTGTAACCTACCTCTGCACCTAATTACACTGTTCCCAATTTCTCTGTTATGGAACCTTTCACAATTTTTCTTTCCATCATCAATTTAATCTCATTTCCATAGATTTCTTCTTGTCCTGTCTGTATCCAATATTCAAGAGGATATGAAAACTTATATGAGATATTCAACTTGTTTAGAAATTTAAACACAAACTTAGTTACACTGATTAGTTTGGGTAAAGAAGAATACCTATTTATATCACTGGCTAAGGAAGGACAAACTATTGGAGCGGTGGTCACAGTAATTTCAACAGGAGTAATATACGCCTTTTGTACAGGCCAATTAGCTTTATTTACCAACCAGCTTGGTCCTATAAACCATGATACAGTATTTACGAATTTAGAATAAGGTAAACCTCGAGACAAGAAATCAGTTGGATTCTCCTCACCAGGTATATGATTAAATGTTAACATATGCTGACCCAAACTGTTATACTTCTCTTGCATCTGATTAATTTCAGTGACTGTTTTGTACGTACACAATTTTACTATTTCCATTATGAATCCATTGTAAGGATACCTCATTATTAGACCAAATTACAGTGTCATTAATTTTTATCTCCTGCAACTTATTTCTTATATAATTAGCTAATTTGACGCCTACATAAATGGCTGTTAATTCCAACTGAGGTAATGTACGTGATTTAATTGGAGACCCTTTTGCTTTAGACATAACAAGAGAAATGACATTATTACATTGAAGGTAAGCAACTGCTCCATACACCAATTTTGAAGCATCACAAAAGCTGTGGAGTATATTTTTCCCATCTGGATTGGCCACCTGGTGTGGGAACTCCAACACTGGAATTTTTTCATAATCACCATTTAATTCATCCCACGTGCTTAATGAATTCTTCAGGTAGTGTTTCATCCCAAGCACATTTAAGCTTCCATGCCTCTTGCATTAATAATTTCCCTCTTATAGTAAGGGGTGACACTAAGCCTAGTGGATCAAAACATTTGGAAACTTCAGCAAGCAAAACTCTCTCAGTTAATTTATTGGGCATACTGTAATTATTAGGTTTTAACATTAACAAATCTCTCTCGGTATCCCAAGTTAATCCCAATACATTACTACATTTTGGTACTTCATTTCCAGGGTAATCCTTACTTGTTTTGTCCTTTAATTTGGACAAATTACTATTCCATTCCCTCAGAGGCATATTTGCACTTTGCATTATTTTATTAGCCTCTCCATAAGTCATTAACAGTTCCTCGTCAGTTGATGTCACACCCAGGAAATTGTCCACATAAAATTGTGTGGTCATTACTTTACTCAGTGGACTTCCCGTACATTTAAGGTGTGCATTTATCATCGCTTGAAGTAGGAACGGACTGGATGTAGCACCAAATAATACGCTCCTAAAGCGAAAGGTTTTCAGACGGCTAAGTGGATCACTAGGATTCTCAGGCCATAAGAAGCGGGTACAGTTCCGGTCAGCCTCTTGTAAACCCACTCTTAGGAAAGCTTTACTTATGTCAGCTGTAAAGGCATAATTCTTCACAATGAAATTTAATTAGATATCTCCTAATTTTTCCGTCAACGACAGACCTGTCATCAGTCATTTAAACTAGGTACATTTTTGTTACTCCTGGCACTACAATTAAACACAATCCTCAGATGAGTGGTCTTAGAATCCTTCTTCACTCTGTGATGTGGCAAATAGTGACCATAAATTTTGGCTTGCTCAGGAGGTACCTCTTCTATAAATTTACCTCTTCAAGGGGGGGCTCCTTGGTGTGGTGAAGAGGCTCTTGGTCTGAGGAATTAGACCTGTCGGTCTCCTTCCTCAGACCGAACCTAATTACCCCCCAATCCCCCCTTCTCTATCCCATCCTCCCCTTTTCCCTTTCCTCCTCCTCCCCACCCCTCCCTTTTGCCCTTCCTCTTTATGGCCTTTGGGATTTTTCCCACAGGCACGCTAGTTCCTAGGTAGGGGAAAGGGTACTGGGGTCCATCCCATTCCATTGAGGTTCTTGGTGGTGGCGTAGTTTGCCGTGGAATCTGGATCGCCTGGGGATGTTCCGATCCCTCTCCGGTATCCCGGAGAGTGGCTTTGGGTGTCTTTCGGGCGACGGGTGTATCTCTGGAAGCCACCTTTCGGATTCCGGGGGTGGTGGCCGAAGGAGGTATGCTTTGTGGCAGATATCCGGCCGCCCTCTCTTTTGTCCACTGAGGTAGCTCGGCAGATGTGAGGTTGCTCTCCCGGATTGCTGGTTTACTGGCATGAGGGGTAGGGTATGGCACGGGTTCCATGCTGCATCTGCGCTACTAGAGGTGGAGGTCCTCTTGGGCGTGGAGGGAGATTTCCGGCCCTTTCATTCCTCCTGGGAACTATTCCTCCCCGCTCCCCCCTTTTTTTTATTTTTTTTTATTTTTATTTTATTTTCTTTCTTTTTTTTTCTTAAAAACGAAAAGCAAATGAGTAACCTAACCATGGAGTACCCAGTCCATGAACCCACTACCCCTGGGCCCCTTCTTGATACCGCACCCCATTCTGACCCTGCCTTGTTTTTTTACCACTCTTCGGATACTCCTGATGCCCCTGTACCTCTTGCTGGTGCTGTTTCCTCACCCGCTTCAGGTACCGGGGCTTTGACTGACTCCTTCGATTTGTCTGACCTCCGCTCTTCTTTGACTATGCTTCCAGCCTCTCCCTCTACAGTATGGCAATTTTCGAATTGCCAGCCCATTTTACG